GCTCATTCCCTGCGGCAGCGGCAGGGCCGGCACCGAGGGGAGTGGGGCCGGGATGGGGGTGGCCGGGGCCCTGGGGCGATGGGAGCCGCTCGGTGACGCAGGGCAGGAGCTGCTCTGGGTGCCGGAGCTGGTTTAGGGCACTGGGAAGGGATGGCAGGTGCTGTGGGGACTGTGTCCAGCATCCCAAGGGACTCCAGTGCTGGCCTGATGCTGCTGTGGCCAAGGTCCGTTCAGCTCCCAGTCTCCTTCTCTGATCCCTGCACACATGGGAAGAGCCTGGGCAGCTCTGGGGCTGGCCCATCCTTCATCCTGTGGCACCTGCAGGGGTGGAGAGCGCCCATTGGGGCCCACAGCGGAGCATGGCCCCGCTCCCCCCCGTCTGGCACCGCTTCCAAGAACTGGCAACATGGAGCAGCAGGAAGGGGAGAACAGTGAGCGGCACCGGCTGGGCCCTGCACATCCCTTGGGAACCGGGCGGAGATGCCCAGCCTGGATGAGGAGAGGCTGAGGGAGCTGGGCCTGTTCAGCCTGGAGAAGAGAAGGCTGAGAGGGGACCTGAGCAGTGTCTAGAAGTACCTCAAGGGAGGGAGTGCAGAGGACGGTGCTGGTCTCTTTTCAGTGGTGGCCACTGATAGGACTAGAGGAAATGGCTGGAAACTGAAACACCAAAAATTCCATAGGAACTTAAGGAAAAATTTCTTAACAGTGAGGGTGACAGAGCACTGGAACAGGCTGCCCAGAGAGGTTGTGGAGTCTCCTTCTCTGGAGATCTTCAAAACCCGCTTGGACGCAGTCCTGTGCCACGTGCTCTAGGTGACCCTGCGTGTGCAGGGGGGTTGGACTAGATGACCTCTAGAGGTCCCTTCCAACCTTAAGCATTCTATGATTCATTCTATGACATCAGGTGCAGCTGGCTCATTCATTCTCTTTCCCAAAATGCAACAACATCTGACAGAAACAACTTCCTCTGAGAAACTTAATTTAGACTCAAATGCATCTGGAATGCAGGATAAGCATGACCTATAGATAGATAATTAAAAAAAAAGCCACATCAAAATCTTGTAAAATGAGCAGTATTTATTGCATATTATATCTATCATACCACATAAGCACTGCTTTATCTGTATTAGGTAACACTGAACAAAAGTTGCATGCTCTTTCTGTTGCTTTATAAATTTAAGGTACTTGCCAGTTAGTTCTCAGAGGTGGCTAAAATGGATGAAATTAGGACACTAGAATATATAGTTTCATACAATTGGTTCTGCTTTCCAGCTGCTGATTCAGCTGTGAGATACAAATATAGCCTCTTAGAACAGCAGACTCTTATACTTAACCACTCCTCAGCACGAACAAAGAATAAGAATTAAATTTTGAGAGAAATTATTTGAAAAATAGTGTAGAAGACTAAATGGAATTAAGTTCACCCTGTAATTTGATAACTTTAAAAACATAGAGAAGAATAAACACATAACACTAAGAGAAGAAAAAAAGTTTTGAAAAGGCAGCTTTTTATGGCTTTACTTTTTTTTTTTTTCCTGACTGTAGTGCCGCGCGGGGCCAGCGCTGCTCTCTGGGGTGGCTCCGCAGCCCGGGCAGGTCCCTACGCTCGGAGTGGGGGGTCCCTTCCCGGCGTCACAGCCGGGATCCTCCCTGCGAGTTCTGGGATGGACGGACGGGGCCGCCCTGAGCACCGTCGCTGTCGTGGCAGCGCCGGCCATGGCGCCGCTGGGCGAGGAGACGCCGCTGATCGGGGAGCGCTCGTGCAGCCTCTCGTCCACGGAGACGGGGACACTGCAGGTCTTCCTGTACCACCGAGCGCCCCGCGCCGGTCCCGCCGGCCCGGACTCCGCCGGCGTCCTCACCTTCACCTTCGGCGAGTACACGGCCGAGGAGCTCTGCGTCCGCGCGGCCAAGGCCTGCGGTGAGCGTCGGCGCAGCCGCGGAGGGACCCCCTGTCCATGGGGGGACCCCATGGCCGGTGCCATCCCGGGCACCGGAGGCGCTGGGGGAGACGGATGCGTTGCCCGGCCGTGCATCCTGCCCCGGCGCCGCGGTGGCACGTCCCTCGCTGTGTCCCCAGGCGTGCTGCCCGTCTGTCACTCCCTCTTCGCCCTGGCCACCGAGGATCTCACGTGCTGGTTCCCCCCCAACCACGTCTTCACCGTGGACGACTCGTGCAGCCAGGTCGTGGTCTATCGCATCAGGTAGCGCCGCGTGGCCACCCGGGGACTCTCTGATGGCTGATAAGGGCTGTGCACGTCGCAGCTCCTCAGGGCAGAGCCGAGCCCTGTCTGTGCTCCCTGGCAGGTTCTTCTTCCCCAACTGGTGCGGGCTGGGGCAGTCGCACCGGTTCCAGCTGATGAATGACCGGGCCAGCGCAGTCCTGGACTACCCCGTCATTGATTACCTCTTTGCCCAGGTGAGCCCTGCAGGGCTGGTGTCCTGGGACACCCAGGTCTGCAGGCTAAAGGCTCCTGTGGCTTCTCGGGTGTGTTGTACGTGTTAACCTCAGTGCCATGCCACCCTGTGCCGCTCTCCTTGCTGGTCCCTGTGCTGTTCCCTGTCCCTGTGCCCCCTGGGACTGTGATGCCCGCAGGATGGTGGCTCAGCTGAAGTTGCCCATGGGTTTGGGAGCTGCCAGGCCCAGGGACGGTGCCGTCTTTGCTCTTACCTGGGCACCAGCAGGAAATCAGAGGGAGGATGTGACTCAGGTGCCAGAGCACCGTGCTGGGGACAGGGCCTGGCCGGGTCGATATTGGCATCGGCAGCCCCAGGGCCACAGTGGGATCAGCAGGATCTGTCCTGGATACTCCTGTTAGCCACGGCCTTGTGCATGCACCAAGGGTTGTGGATGTTCCTAAATGCACCGAGGGTTGCACTTGCCCATGCATGCACCGAGAGTTGCACATGCTCATGCCTGCACTGAGGGTCGTACATGCTCCTATATGCACCAAGGGTTGCACTTGCCCGTGCATGCACCGAGGGTTGCACTTGCCCATG